CATTACATTGTTGTCATTGCAGTAAAACACACACACACACACACACACACACACACACACACACACACACACACATACACACACACACACACACATGATGGGATGGGATCACAAGCAAGACAAGTGAACTAAGGGAAAGAGCACAAGTAGTTAACCCAGATGTAATCGGACTCACTGAAACAAAACTCTCTGGAATCATAACGAATGCCGTGTTTCCCCAGGAGTACACAGTAATAAGGAAAGAGAGGGAAGGCAGGGGAGGAGGCGGAGTGGCCCTACTCATGAGAAGGGAATGGAGTTTTAAGGAGATGGCCATCCCGGGCTGTGAGGAGTTCAGAGACTACATAGCAGGCACCATAACAATGGGAGGACCAAGAATAGTAGTAGCAGTAATATACAACCCTCCACCAAATGACAGGAGACCCAGTCAAGAGTATGAAAACAACAACAAGGCAGTTAACACTATAATTGAGAGGGCAGCCTCTGCTGCCTGTAGAAATAGATCCTACCTGCTCATCATGGGCGACTTCAATCACGGAAAGATTGACTGGGAGAACAAGGAACCGCATGGAGGCGAGGATACGTGGAGAGCCAAACTATTGGAGGTGGTGACAAGCAACTTTTTAACCCAGCATGTCGGAGAACCCACAAGGATGAGAGGCAATGACGAACCAGCGAGACACGACCTAGTCTTCACTCTGAACGACTCCGACATGAGAGAAATCGGTTTTGATGACCCAGTAGGAATGAGCGACCACAGTGTACTGGTGTTTGAGTACTTGATTGAAGAAGGTTTATTGAACTCGAGGAGGGATACCGAAACCAAAAGGTTAGCTTACCGAAAGGGAAACTATGAGAGGATAAGAAAATTCGTAACAGATATAACATGGGAAACAGAGCTCAGGGGAAAGACGGCCCAAGATATGATGGATTACATCACGCAGAAGTGCAAGGACGCAGCAAACAAGTTTGTCCCAGTCCAAAAGGAAAACAGAGAAATGAAGATGAGAAACCCATGGTTTAATCAGAGATGTAGGCTAGCTAAGCAGCAAAGTAAAAGGGCATGGAGAAACTATAGGAATAACAGGACACTGGAGAGCAGAGAAAGATACCAGAATGCCAGGAATGAAAATGTCAGGATGAGAAGAGAGGCAGAAAGACAATACGAAAATGACATCACAAGCAAGGCAAAGACTCAGCCTAAATTGTTGCATAGCCACATCAGGAGAAAAACAACAGTAAAGGAACAGGTTATGAGATTAAGGATAGGGGCGGAAGGATTCACTACAAATGGCAAGGAAGTGTGTGAGGAATTGAATAAGAAATTACAGGAGGTCTTCACCTTAGAGCAAGGATAAATTCCAGAGGTAAGTGAGGAAATAGCAAACCAGGAACCACTGGAAGAGTTTGAGATTACCAGTGGGGAAGTAAGGAAGTGTTTACTAGAGTTGGACGTGACGAAGGCTATAGGCCCAGATGGAATCTCCCCTTGGGTTCTAAAGGAAGGAGCAAGAGAACTGTGCCTACCACTCTCCATAGTGTATAACAAATCACTGGCAACAAGGGAACTGCCAGATATTTGGAAAGCAGCTAATGTAGTCCCGATATACAAGAAAGGGGATAGACAGGAGGCACTGAACTACAGGCCAGTGTCCCTAACCTGCATACCATGCAAGCTGATGGAGAAGATTGTGCGAAAAAAACTAGTGGAGCATCTGGAGCGAAGGAACTTTGTAACACAGCATCAACATGGGTTCAGGGATCGCAGGTCGTGCCTCACAGGGTTACTTGAATTCTACGACCAGGCAACAAAAATAAGGCAAGAAAGAGAAGGGTGGGCAGACTGCATATTTTTGGATTGTCAGAAAGCCTTTGATACAGTGCCACACAAGAGGCTAGTGCGAAAGTTGGAGATGCAGGCTGGAGTGAGAGGGAAGGTACTCCGGAGGTTAGAGGAGTACCTAAGCAACAGGAGACAACGAGTCTGTGTGAGGGGTGAGGTCTCAGATTGGCGAGACGTCACAAGTGGAGTCCCGCAGGGGTCAGTCCTTGGACCTATACTGTTTCTGGTATATGTAAATGATCTCCCAGAGGGTATAGATTCGTTCCTCTCAATGTTTGCCGACGATGCAAAAATTATGAGGAGGATTGAAACAGAGGATGATAGTAGGAGGCTACAAGATGACCTGGATAGACTGAGTGAATGGTCCAACAAATGGCTGTTGAAGTTCAACCCGAGTAAATGCAAAGTAATGAAGCTAGGCAGTGGAAACAGGAGGCCAGACACAGGATACAGAATAGGAGATGAAGTACTTAATGAAACAGACAGAGAGAAAGATCTAGGAGTTGATATCACACCAAACCTGTCTCCTGAAGCCCACATAAAGAGAATAACGTCTCCGGCATATGCGAGGCTGGCTAACATCAGAACGGCGTTCAGGAACCTGTGTAAGGAATCATTCAGAATCTTGTACACCACATATGTAAGACCAATCCTGGAGTATGCGGCCCCAGCATGGAGCAGGTACCTTGTCAAGCACAAGACGAAGCTGGAAAAAGTCCAAAGGTATGCTACTAGACTAGTCCCAGAACTAAGAGGCATGAGTTATGAGGAAAGGCTGCGGGAAATGCACCTTACGACACTGGAAGACAGAAGAGTAAGGGGGGACATGATCACAACCTACAAAACCCTCAGGGAAATCGACCGGGTAAACAAGGATGAACTATTCAACACTGGTGGGACACGAACAAGGGGACACAGGTGGAAGCTGAGTACCCAAATGAGCCACAGAGACGTTAGAAAGAACTTTTTCAGTGTCAGAGTAGTTAGTAAATGGAATGCATTAGGAAGTGATGTGGTGGAGGCTGACTCCATACACAGTTTTAAATGTAGATATGATAGAGCCCAGTAGGCTCAGGAATCTGTACACCAGCTGATTAACGGTTGAGAGGCGGGACCAAAGAGCCAGAGCTCAACCCCCGCAAGCACAATTAGGTGAGTACAATTAGGTGAGTACACACACACACACACACAAAGGTGTCTGCTGGAGCTGGATGTGACAAAGGCTGTTGGGCCTGATAGAATCTCACCATGGATACTAAAGGAAGGTGCAGAAGCACTAAGTGTGCCACTCTCTATGGTGTATAACAGGTCACTGGAAACAGGAGACTTACCAAAAAGTTGGAAGACAGCTAACGTGGTCCCAATATACAAAAAGGGTGACAACCAAGAGGCACTGAATTACAGGCCAGTTTCCTTAACTTGTATACCATGCAAGGTGATGGAGAAGATTGTGAGGAAAAGGATCGTAGAGCATCTGGAGGGAAATAACTTTGTAACGCACCACCAACATGGGTTCAGAGATGGTAAATCGTGCCTCACAGGTTTAATAGAATTTTATGACCAGGCAACGAAAATTAGGAAGGAAAGAGAAGGGTGTGCCGACTGCATTTTCCTGGATTGCCAAAAAGCCTTTGACACAGTACCCCATAAAAGGCTGTTAAAAAAGTTGGAGCAACAGGCAGGAGTAAAAGGGAAGGTGCTCCAGTGGATAAGGGAGTACTTAAGCAACAGGAAACAGCGAGTAATGGTGAGGGGGGAGACATCAGAGTGGCGAGATGTCACCAGCGGAGTCCCACAGGGCTCTGTACTTGGACCCATCCTGTTTCTAATATATGTAAACGATCTTTCAGAGGGTATAGACTCATTCCTCTCGATGTTTGCTGATGATGCAAAAATTATGAGAAGAATCAAGACGGATGAAGATAGACAGAGACTACAGGAAGACCTGGATAAACTGGAGGAATGGTCTTGAAAATGGCTGCTAAAGTTCAACTCGGGAAAGTGTAAGGTGATGAAATTAGGCGAAGGGAGCAGGAGGCTGAACACAAGGTATCATCTGGGAGGGGAAATCCTGCAAGAGTCAAATAGAGAGAAGGATCTGGGGGATGATATCACACCGAACCTGTCCCCAGAGGCCCACATCAAAAGAATATCATCAGCGGCATATGCTAGACTGGCCAACATAAGAACTGCCTTCAGAAACTTGTGTAAGGAATCTTTCAGAACCCTGTATACCACTTATGTAGGACCAATCCTGGAGTATGCAGCTCCAGCCTGGAGTCCATACCTAGTTAAACACAAGACAAAGTTAGAGAAGATTCAGCGGTATGCCACCAGGCTCGTCCCGGAACTGAGAGGATTGAGCTACGAGGAAAGGCTAAAGGAGCTGAACCTCACATCCCTGGAAAACAGAAGAGTAAGGGGAGACATGATAACCACCTACAAAATTCTCAGGGGAATTGACAGGGTGGACAAAGACAAACTCTTCAGCACGAGTGGGACACGAACAAGGGGACACAGGTGGAAACTTAGTACCCAGATGAGCCACAGAGACGTTAGAAAGAATTTTTTCAGTGTCAGAGTAGTTAATAAATGGAATGCACTAGGAAGTGATGTGGTGGAGGCTGACTCCATACACAGTTTCAAATGTAGATATGATAGAGCCCAGTAGGCTCAGGAATCTGTACACCAGTTGATTGACAGTTGAGAGGCGGGACCAAAGAGCCAAAGCTCAACCCCCGCAAGCACAATTAGGTGAGTACAAACACTCCCCTCCACACACACACAGCCACACCTAAATCACCACACACAATCATAGTAGCGTTACTAGTGGTGGTCCAGGATCTTAACACCTTGTGTTCCCAATGATCACAAAGACTCCCTACATCCTGTGGTACCTACAACCCCTGCTACTTTTGTACCCTCTGGATACCCCAGCTCTACAGTATGCTTCCTAAGCCATCTACGCGCGCTCTCTACTACCCCGGCCTCTCTAGTTACTGTATCTTATCACAGGACGTATCCACATCACGTACAAATCCCAGGAATATTCTACCTTAGTAGATTTCTTCTAAGCTTACTATATATCCCTCATCCTTTCTTCTAATGTTACAAGTACACAGTCGGAGACTGTTTTCAATATTCTAATCATTAACAGATGCCTCATCTGTAGATGCCTCATCTGAAGATGCCTCATCTGAAGATGCCTCATCTGAAGATGCCTCATCTGTAGATGCCTCATCTGAAGATGCCTCATCTGTAGATGCCCCATCTGAAGATGCCTCATCTGAAGATGCCTCATCTGAAGATGCCTCAACTACTCAAAACTGTTTTGTGCATTATTGTCTTCGGAATCATCAGCTTCCTCGCCATACGATAAGAAAACATCAACTATGGGAGGGTGTTAAAATAGTAAATTTTGAGTAAATTTAATTTTTAAATTACGCCAACAGCTTCTTGGCGTAATTTAGCCTTCGTAGAGACACAACTGCAATGAATATGAGGCAATACATTGACCAACTAAAAGCGCATTTGGTAATTATCGCCCTCCAACCGACAGAGGACGTCAACCCCCTCCAACCGTCAGAGGACGTCAACCCCCTCCAACCGTCAGAGGACGTCAACCCCCTCCAACCGACAGAGGACGTCAACCCCCTCCAACCGTCAGAGGACGTCAACCCCCTCCAACCGTCAGAGGACGTCAACCCCCTCCAACCGTCAGAGGACGTCAACCCCCTCCAACCGTCAGAGGACGTCAACCCCCTCCAACCGACAAAGGACGTCAACCCCCTCCAACCGTCAGAGGACGTCAACCCCCTCCAACCGTCAGAGGACGTCAACCCCCTCCAACCGTCAGAGGACGTCAACCCCCTCCAACCGACAAAGGACGTCAACCCCCTCCAACCGTCAGAGGACGTCAACCCCCTCCAACCGTCAGAGGACGTCAACCCCCTCCAACCGACAGAGGACGTCAACCCCCTCCAACCGTCAGAGGACGTCAACCCCCTCCAACCGACAAAGGACGTCAACCCCCTCCAACCGTCAGAGGACGTCAACCCCCTCCAAACGTCAGAGGACGTCAACCCCCTCCAACCGTCAGAGGACGTCAACCCCCTCCAACTGTCAGAGGACGTCAACCCCGTCCAACCGTCAGAGGACGTCAACCCCCTCCAACCGTCAGAGGACGTCAACCCCCTCCAACCGACAGAGGACGTCAACCCCCTCCAACCGTCAGAGGACGTCAACCCCCTCCAACCGTCAGAGGACGTCAACCCCCTCCAACCGACAGAGGACGTCAACCCCCTCCAACCGTCAGAGGACGTCAACCCCCTCCAACCGTCACAGGACGTCAACCCCCTCCAACCGTCAGAGGACGTCAACCCCCTCCAACCGTCAGAGGACGTCAACCCCCTCCAACCGTCAGAGGACGTCAACCCCCTCCAACCGTCAGAGGACGTCAACCCCCTCCAACCGTCAGAGGACGTCAACCCCCTCCAACCGTCAGAGGACGTCAACCCCCTCCAACCGTCAAGAGAGGCCAAACACGATAAAAATTCTGTGGCTGTTAAGGCCAATAATTCACCTGGCAATGGTTAGGTGACAGTAGAAAACAAATGCAGTAATATCGGTGATGCCCTAAAACCCAAAACGGGATCGACAACACCAACGGAAGAAGGATCAGAGCCCATAAGCTCCGGTAACACTCCCGGAGGAGAACACAAAACCGAAAACAGTAACCCCGTCAAGACAAACTCGGCCCTTGGAAGAAGTGAAGATAATAGAAAAGTTTCTCGGTTAGTATTTATCCCGCCCGACTTCCGGTCGGTTATAATAGGCCCGAAAGGTAAAACCCGTTCGGATATATAAAAGACTTTTTAGGTCAAGATAAAATAATACCGACAAAAGAACAGTGTCTCAGGGACACAATAGTTGAAGGATATAAGACAAATGTTGAAAAGGCCATAAGTAAAATTAATTTAATTATTGAGGACCATAAAAAACTTTTGGCCCAACGGGAGGAGGAAAAGGCCAAACGGGAGGAGGAAAAGGCCAAACGGGAGGAGGAAAAGGCCCAACGGGAGGAGGAAAAGGCCAAACGGGAGGAGGAAAAGGCCAAACGGGACGAGGGAAAGGCCAAACGGGACGAGGAAAAGGCCAAACGGGAGGAGGAAAAGGCCAAACGGGAGGAGGAAAAGGCCAAACGAGAGGAGGAAAAGGCCAAACGGGAAGAGGAAAAGGCCAAACGGGAAGAGGAAAATGCCAAACGGGAGGAGGAAAAGGCCCAACGGGAGGAGGAAAAGACCAAACGGGAGGAGGAAAAGGCCAAACGGGAGGAGGAAAAGGCCAAACGGGAGGAGGAAAAGGCCAAACGGGAGGAGGAAAAGGCCAAACGGGAGGAGGAAAAGGCCAAACGGGAGTAGATAAAGGCCAAACGGGAGGAGGTCGCTAAAGCCAGAGAAGAACTGGCAGCGAAGGGCATTTAAAAGTCCATAGAAGTCGGAGAAGAACACAGGAAAGTGATCCTTGGCCCCCAAGGGTGATACAATAAAGAAACTCACCGAAAAACACCACGTAAAAATCAACGTTCCTGGACGAGGGGAATAAGGCCCAATCGAAGTTATGGGACTTGAGGAAAATGTATTGACAGCAATTAATGATATTGAAAAACTCGTTGCGGAACGTCAGAAAAAAATGAAAACAATACAAAACAAAATGTGAAAAGGAATAAAAACCGACCCATCATGAAGGGTGACGGTCTCGCTTTATGCAGGCCAGAGTTCAATCCCCGAGCGTCCTGGAGCACTGGGGAGCACTATTCCTTTCCCCCGTCCCTTGAGGTTACCTTGAGGTGTTTCCTGGGCTTAGCGTCCCCGCGGCCCGGTCGTCGACCAGGCCTCCATCCTTAATCCTGATCCAGATCCCTTCAAAGTACTATAATAGGGATGATATAAGTGCAATGTGGGACTCTGACGGCTTGGCGCTTTCCCCTGACAAGTCCCTTCCCTACCCTCCCTGTGAACGTGGGTCTGCGGGTTCACCACCACCCATCGTCTCCGGGTCTGCGGGTTCACCACCACCCATCATGTGCGGGTCTGCGGGTTCACCACCACCCATCATGTGCGGGTCTGCGGGTCCACCACCACCCATCATGTGCGGGTCTGCGGGTTCACCACCACCCATCATGTGCGTGTCTGCGGGTTCAACACCACCCATCATGTGCGGGTTCACCACCACCCATCATGTGCGTGTCTGCGGGTCCACCACCACCCATCATGTGCGGGTCTGCGGGTTCACCACCACCCATCATGTGCGGGTTCACCACCACCCATCGTCTGCGGGTCCACCACTACCCATCATGTGCGGGTCTGCGGGTTCACCACCACCCATCGTCTGCGGGTTCACCACCACCCATCATGTGCGGGTCTGCGGGTTCACCACCACCCATCGTCTGCGGGTCCACCACTACCCATCATGTGCGGGTCTGCGGGTTCACCACCACCCACCGTCTGCGGGTCTGCGGGTTCACCACCACCCATCGTCTGCGGGTCCACCACCACCCATCATGTGCGTGTCTGCGGGTTCACCACCACCCATCATGTGCGCGTCTGCGGGTTCACCACCACCCATCATGTGCGGGTCTGCGGGTCCACCACCACCCATTATGTGCGGGTCCACCACCACCCATTATGTGCGGGTCTGCGGGTTCACCACCACCCATCATGTGCGGGTCTGTGGGTTCACCACCACCCATCGTCTGCGGGTCCACCACTACCCATCATGTGCGGGTATGCGGGTTCACCACCATCCATCGTCTGCTGGTCTGCGGGTTCACCACCACCCATAATGTGCGTATCTGCGGGTCCACCACCACCCATCATGTGCGTGTCCACCACCACCCATCATGTGCGGGTCTGCGGGTTCACCACCACCCATCATGTGCGTGTCTGCGGGTTCACCACCACCCATCATGTGCGGGTCTGCGGGTTCACCACCACCCATCATGTGCGGGTTCACCACCACCCATCATGTGCGTGTCTGCGGGTCCACCACCACCCATCATGTACGTGTCTGCGGGTTCACCACCACCCATCGTCTGCGAGTCTGCGGGTTCACCACCACCCATCATGTGCGGGTCTGCGGGTTCACCACCACCCATCGTCTGCGGGTTCACCACCACCCATCGTCTGCGGGTTCAACACCACCCTTCGTCTGCGGGTCCACCACCACCCATCATGTGCGTGTCTGCGGGTTCACCACCACCCATCATGTGCGTGTCTGCGGGTTCACCACCACCCATCATGTGCGGGTCTGCGGGTCCACCACCACCCATCATGTGCGGGTCTGCGGGTCCACCACCACCCATTATGTGCGGGTCTGCAGGTCCACCACCACCCATGATGTGCGGGTCTGCGGGTTCACCACCACCCATCATGTGCGTGTCTGCGGGTCCACCACCACCCATCATCTGCGGGTCCACCACCACCCATTATGTGCGGGTCTGCGGGTCCACCACCACCCATTATGTGCGGGTCCACCACCACCCATCATGTGCGGGACTGCGGGTTCACCACCACCCATCATGTGCGGGTTCACCACCACCTATCGTCTGCGAGTCCACCACTACCCATCATGTGCGGGTATGCGGGTTCACCACCACCCATCGTCTGCGGGTCTGCGGGTTCACCACCACCCATCATGTGAGTATCTGCGGGTCCACCACCACCCATCATGTGCGTGTCCACCACCACCCATCATGTGCGGGTCTGCGGGTTCACCACCACCCATCATGTGCGTGTCTGCGGGTTCACCACCACCCATCATGTGCGGGTCTGCGGGTTCACCACCACCCATCATGTGCGGGTCTGCGGGTTCACCACCACCCATCATGTGCGTGTCTGCGGGTCCACCACCACCCATCATGTGAGTGTCTGCGGGTTCACCACCACCCATCGTCTGCGAGTCTGCGGGTTCACTACCACCCATCATGTGCGGGTCTGCGGGTTCACCACCACCCATCGTCTGCGGGTTCACCACCACCCATCGTCTGCGGGTTCACCACCACCCATCGTCTGCGGGTTCACCACCACCCATCGTCTGCGGGTTCACCACCACCCATCGTCTGCGGGTCTGCGGGTTCACCACCACCCATCATGTGCGGGTCTGCGGGTTCACCACCACTCATCATGTGCGTGTCTGCGGGTCCACCACCACCCATCATGTGCGGGTTTGCGGGTCCACCACCACCCATCATGTGCGGGTCTGCGGGTCCACCACCACCCATCATGTGCGGGTCTACGGGTCCACCACCACCCATCATGTGCGGGTCCACCACCACCCATCATGTGCGTGTCTGCGGGTTCACCACCACCCATCATGTGCGTGTCTGCGGGTTCACCACCACCTATCGTCTGCGGGTCTGCGGGTTCACCACTACCTATCGTCTGCGGGTCTGCGGGTCCACCACCACCCATCATGTGCGTGTCTGCGGGTTCACCACCACCCATCATGTGCGTGTCTGCTGGTTCACCACCACCTATCGTCTGCGGGTCTGCGGGTTCACCACCACCCATCGTCTGCGGGTCTGCGGGTCCACCACCACCCATCATGTGCGGGTCTGCGGGTTCACCACCACCCATCGTCTGCGGGTCCACCACTACCCATCATGTGCGGGTATGCGGGTTCACCACCACCCATCGTCTGCGGGTCTGCGGGTTCACCACCACCCATCATGTGCGTGTCTTCGGGTCCACCACCACCCATCATGTGCGTGTCTGCGGGTTCACCACCACCCATCATGTGCGGGTCTGCGGGTTCACCACCACCCATCATGTGCGTGTCTGCGGTTCACCACCACCCATCATGTTCGGGTTCACCACCACCCATCATGTGCGGGTCTGCGGGTTCACCACCACCCATCATGTGCGGGTCTGCGGGTTCACCACCACCCATCATGTGCGTGTCTGCGGGTCCACCACCACCCATCATGTGCGTGTCTGCGGGTTCACCACCACCCATCGTCTGCGAGTCTGCGGGTTCACCACCACCCACCATGTGCGGGTCTGCGGGTTCACCACCACCCATCGTCTGCGGGTTCACCACCACCCATCGTCTGCGGGTCTGCGGGTTCACCACCACCCATCATGTGCGGGTCTGCGGGTTCACCACCACCCATCATGTGAGTGTCTGCGGGTCCACCACCACCCATCATGTGCGGGTCTGCGGGTCCACCACCACCCATCATGTGCGGGTCTGCGGGTCCACCACCACCCATCATGTGCAGGTCTACGGGTCCACCACCACCCATCATGTGCGGGTCTGCGGGTCCACCACCACCCATCATGTGCGTGTCTGCGGGTTCACCACCACCCATCATGTGCGTGTCTGCGGGTTCACCACCACCTATCGTCTGCAGGTCTGCGGGTTCACCACCACCTATCGTCTGCGGGTCTGCGGGTCCACCACCACCCATCATGTGCGTGTCTGCGGGTTCACCACCACCCATCATGTGCGTGTCTGCGGGTTCACCACCACCTATCGTCTGCGGGTCTGCGGGTTCACCACTACCTATCGTCTGCGGGTCCACCACCACCCATCATGTGCGTGTCTGCGGGTTCACCACCACCTATCGTCTGCGGGTTCACCACCACCTATCGTCTGCGGGTCAGCGGGTCCACCACCACCCATCATGTGCGTGTCTGCGGGTTCACCACCACCTATCGTCTGCGGGTCTGCGGGTTCACCACCACCTATCGTCTGCGGGTCCACCACCACCCATCATGTGCGTGTCTGCGGGTTCACCACCACCTATCGTCTGCGGGTCTGCGGGTCCACCACCACCCATCATGTGCGTGTCTGCGGGTTCACCACCACCTATCGTCTGCGGGTCTGCGGGTCCACCACCACCCATTATGTGCGGGTCCACCACCACCCATCATGTGCGGGACTGCGGGTTCACCACCACCCATCATGTGCGGGTTCACCACCACCTATCGTCTGCGAGTCCACCACTACCCATCATGTGCGGGTATGCGGGTTCACCACCACCCATCGTCTGCGGGTCTGCGGGTTCACCACCACCCATCATGTGAGTATCTGCGGGTCCACCACCACCCATCATGTGCGTGTCCACCACCACCCATCATGTGCGGGTCTGCGGGTTCACCACCACCCATCATGTGCGTGTCTGCGGGTTCACCACCACCCATCATGTGCGGGTCTGCGGGTTCACCACCACCCATCATGTGCGGGTCTGCGGGTTCACCACCACCCATCATGTGCGTGTCTGCGGGTCCACCACCACCCATCATGTGAGTGTCTGCGGGTTCACCACCACCCATCGTCTGCGAGTCTGCGGGTTCACTACCACCCATCATGTGCGGGTCTGCGGGTTCACCACCACCCATCGTCTGCGGGTTCACCA